AATAACGAAACAATTTTTTATATAAATTCACCGTTATGGTCTATGAAGTGAAAGTTTCTTTTTAACATCATATAGGGTAAGTTATAGTAATCGAAAATGAAAATTTTTGAATATCGTTACGTTTCAAAACCTTCCGAACATTTTGGCATACTTTTAAAAATCAACCGATTTGAATGATTCACAAAATATTTGATTTCTATTAGTGGGAAGATGTGCTGATTAGTTTGGCAAAGATGTTTTAAAGGTACGAGACAAAAACTGATAAAAAAAATTACTTTTTGAGAGAACGGACCGCTCGATTTGAATGATCCAAAAACATTTCACTTGACGGAATGAAAAATTGATTAAATTTTTAGGAATGCAGGTGTAGCGGTTTCTGGGATCAAGGGAAAAAGTTAAAAAAAGGCCTTTTGGCGGTCATAAATGATCATTTACATCATATATGCACATCAAATTACTAGATATTTTATAGATATTTCTGAGTTCTATACCAACATTTTTAGTATTTAATATCACTTATATAGTTTATATAAATGTCCTCGGCCTTTTCGATAGTAAAAATCAATCGACTTGAATAAGTTCCAAAATTTTCAAACATGTCGATTTGTTTCAAAAATTTCAAAACTCTGTGAAAACTCATAATTTTTCAAAATTATGAAAAGTTTTAAAGCTTTTATAACATTTCAATTGTGGTCTTAGAAGTTATGATGCAGTATTTTCTCTTAAAGCACGATGCCATACTCCACTAGATATTGTTTTGCTTAGTTAATGTTGATATTATTTACACGTGAAATTATAAATATCAACCAAAAATAATAAAAAATATTAAATCTGAATTGGGATTTGAACCCCAGAGCAAAAATTAGAATTCCACGACGATAGCCACTCTACCAATCTGCTACTGGTAAGGAAAAGCATTGCAAGCTATGTATGACGCGGTGCTAAAATGCAAACTTCAATTAATTTTTATAATTAAACCGCTTTTCATAGGGTTCTAGTATTTTACCATGGTCAGTTTAGACATCAAATCTACCTTTGTGCCAAGTTTTATCAAAATCCGAGAGAGCAACGCGCGGGTTCTCCTTCTTAGAATGGGTTGACTAGATTGGAACTTGATTATTTATTTTTTTGATATTTTAATTATATATGTATATATGCAATTAAATATATATATATATATATATATATATATATATGTAAATATGCAGATTTTAACCCGCCAACATCAAAAATTTATGTTCTTGCTTTAATAAAATTTGCATTGGCAAACAACCTATGAAAATTAATATACCAAGAGCGGCGTGTCGCGCATTTAACCTCGAACGTTGATAAGATTTAACAGCGACGATTTTTAATCAAATCCAATTCAAACAATACGCCAAATTCGGAATAAAGCATTTCTCATTACGGCGCTCACCTTAGAACGACGCACCGTCTCTTTAGATTCAATTATGAAGTCTTTTGCCAGTCAAGACAAGAACGCCTGGGAGATGATGTTCGTACATGTGCTTTGATTTAATTAAGAACGAACATTTTCATTAAATATTTATTAGGATTCCTATATCCTTTTGCTCGCCGAGCACCTCAGGCAGACAATATAGTGTTTGTAGTCAAATTCCGCCTTACGTGTAAAGGCATATAAAATGAATATACAAACACACTTATATAGGTGCACACTAATAAAATATATATTTGTGCATCCTGAAATGCTCGTCTAATTAAATTTTACACATTTCTTAGCATCGGCTTCTTAAGAAAAGTAAGCTGTTGTTCTAAGTGAACATAAACTCTTTGTTCATCAATTTGTTAAATATTTTGTATATTCGAAGCTTTCAGTCAAATTTTTCATTAAGTATTTAACGCGTTCAGGGAAGTGAATGTTACATATTCATTTTCATTTTACTGCTCATTGCGTTCGCAAGTGATTTTATTTTGTCTTAACTCGGATTATGTAACAAATAGCCTTTTTATTTTTACAAAATTTCCATAACAAATGTTTAATCATCATTCATTCTTGTCTGCATGTACACCTCGGAGGCGTGCAAATACCGTTATAGGGTTAAAAAATATCTAGTTCACAAAAAATCCATTTAAAGAGCTACTCGTTAAAAGTTGAGTATAATGGAATATGTCTTTAGTATTAATGAGTTTATTGTCAATACAATTTTCTATCGGCTATTACAGGAAAAAACTGTTTTTTAATATTGCATTATATTGTTGTACCTATTCTAAAGGAGAAAGCATATTTAATCTTTGGAATTCCCGGAATTCATATTTTCTTTGAACGCCCTTCATTTAAGCGCTGTAGCTAATTATTTTCCCCAAATTATATACAGAATAAAATCAGTGGCCACATCTTCTAAAAACAACATAAATATTTTCATTAACTTCTTCAATACCATGCCGTTACGATACTAATTGAAAAATTAATCAAGAAAATTCAACGAAGAATTTTCCGCCTTGCAAATCGATTGGACGGGGAGGCTGAAAGTTGTTTTTCGCAACGTTCAGAAAGCCCTCGAGGTGTTATTGAATGAACAAAATTATGTTTGCTTTTAAAGGATCGAGGCATCTTTTGAATGCGGGTATAATACTCATAATTTTCCACGGCTTCTCATAAAACAAATATTTATGATTTACGTTATATGAAACAGAATCGGTGTTGTACTCATTTGAGGGCGAGTTTTTGAAAAATATTGTTTCACTTTTTTTGAATTGCAATACCTGGTTTTGAACGTGATTAGATTTTATTAAAAAAATTTGATTATATATTATTCCGATTGCTATATTTATTATGGTATATTAATTTAAAATTATTATTTAACTAAAACATTTATATTTGCAAGACCAGATTTTTTCAAAATATTTGTTTATTGCTATAATGTATCGACAGGAACGAGGAACGAGTTTCTGGATCACTTTTTTATTATTTTGTATAATCATATTTATAAATTTTAACTTATCCATAAGAAATATACTTATCCATAAGAAATATACATCTAATACTGTAATTATTCATCTGTGCTTCAAGATATAAATATATTTTTATGCAGTTTAATGGTATAAAACTACTTTGAAGAAAATTGCAAATTTTTTAGCATATTATGAGAAAACATCGTTAATTTATCTAATTGAGTGCACTGAACATATTATATATTTAACCCTTTAAGTGCCGGGAGCCGATATATCGGCTATTTAGTACTTTCATTGTTGTTTTTTTATTTACTAATATTTGCATCAGTGAATTTGTACCAAATGATTTTGATCTGAAAATAAATTGATATAATGAAATAATATTCATTTGTCATTTGTCAACCTTAACTTGTTTCAGCTACAAGTTCATACAAGGGTGATAATTGATTTAACTTTGTCTATCTGTAATAATCCAATAATTCTGTCTATATATTTTGAGCTAATATAAATATTTAATAAACGAATGTTATTATAACTTTTTCTACTACTTTACACTGTAGAATCACCTGAACACTACAGAAAATATAGCGAAAGAATAATTCTGCCTTGTTGAAGACTGAATGATTTAATACTCTACGTGTTTAATTTTATATAGTACTGAGATAAAGTACAGAAATCTTCATTGGGTATATCTATCCAATATACAAACTTCTGGTAATAAAATACGCCGCAATTTTTTAAAATAATCTCTTGAAGGTTTTTGCCCATAATTCTTATGCTTTGCCAGACTTTACATAAGAAAGTCGTCTGGCGTGTGACTTTACACGTTTTTTGTCATTTTGATTGATCGCTTTTTTCTTTGTGTTTTTCTTTCATGAAAATTATATTTTCTGTTACACTCGTCGTCTGTAGCACAATAGCACTGACACTTGGGATTTTTTGCCTTATAAGCATTCATTCACAGCTTTTGTAATGTTATGGATGAAGATATACATGAATGTAATAAAATGAAAAAAATGGTTTGATTTTAATTTCATAATTTTCTGTCTATATATTTATAAACCACGGATCCAATTGCTGTAAAAATTTGGGAAATTGCTAGGTATATCCTCGAACAGGTTTTCTTATATTTAACTGAGAACAAATAATAGGGGTTCTCACCCCGAAGAATTTTTACTTTTTGGGTCAGGTTTTATTTTTTAATTTTTTTTATAATGCGTATATAAATACACATAACCCTACATATTCACCTTTTCATGACAAACCTCCTATTTAGTAAGAATTTTAATAGCAATCATATCATTTTTCATATCGATTCCTGAATATATATATATATATATATATATATATATATATATATATATATATGATTTAGTAGTTAATTTTGATGTTGAAATATATGAGTGAGTTCTTGAGGGCGATACATCAAACAAAGAAAAGCCAAAGATTTATAAAATAATCTTTATTTCCAAACGTTTCGACATTCAATTTAATGTCATCATCAGTGGATATTACGTTGGTTAGTTACATATAGAGAAGTGTACACAGCACTAGAGATTTGGCACTAACATTTATACAACTAACTTGTCAGCACTATGCATTTTCACCACCCTACTTGGTGGTGACTTTTATACATGCCTCGGTACTAGCAAAGTACAGAAGTCGTGGCAGAAATTACATAATTCTACTTACATTTTTGTTCAATAAAACTATCATTTTTCTGTTTACATCATACAAAAAAATTATATAAAAAAATGCATAGTGCTGACAAGTTAGTTGTATAAATGTTAGTGCCAAATCTCTAGTGCTGTGTACACTTCTCTATATGTAACTAACCAACGTAATATCCACTGATGATGACATTAAATTGAATGTCGAAACGTTTGAAAATAAAGATTATTTTATAAATCTTTGGCTTTTCTTTGTTTGATGTATCGCCCTCAAGAACTCACTCATATATATATATATATATTATATGTATATATATATATATATATATATATATATTTTACATGCCTCAATATTAATTATTATAATCAGAAATTAAACCCCCATGTTTAAATATTCTTACCTTTTCTTTGTTTCAGTGGCTCTTCTGTCGGAATGAACAATAATGCTGTGCAGCAACAACAGCAATTGTCCCAACAACCAAAAATCCAGAGCAGCCCGCAGCAGAATCAAACGCAGCAGCAGCAACAACAACATGCGCGACAAAAATCACCGCTGCTGCTCAAAAGGGAAAACTCAAACCAAGAGATGCCGATGCAGCAGGACTCCATCCCGTCGCCTACGTCAAATCTTAAAGTCGAGGTAAGTCAATCATCATTTGTTTATTTGTGTAATGAATAAAATATAAATCCAGGCTTTTAGCAGCGAAGCAGGTGCTACCGGTCTCCTCTGTCCTCTCGCATGAGTTAGAAGGAACGATATGTCAAGAAGCTATTTTTTGCTATTCGTACGAGCATTTTACATAGTATTGTCTTCTAAAACATAACATCAAAATGGCACAAATGTTACCATATATATAATGTAACAATGTTACCATAAGTGCAACTACCTGTTACCACTTGTGGTAACATAAGTGTGAAGTTCAATTAAAATTATATTCTGACGTTCGCGCCATTTTTATGTTTTTAATGTTTTAGAAGCTAATGTTGTGTGAAGCACTTGATCGAACAGCAAAGTTATAGCTTCTTATAATGTTCAGTTACAAGTATTCTTTATTAATTGTGGGTTGATAGTATTTGAAGATGATTTTCTTTTATCTCTTGTTGTACTTATGGGTGTAATACCATGCACAATATTTTTTATATAATTTATATTATAAATATCAAATATAGTTTTCTTTATGTTTTAGTCTGCTGTGAGTTCACCCAATTCGAATTCACAACAAGGGTCTACAAACAACACATCCTTAAACAACAATACGATAAATAATAACAGTGGAATCCAAGAGGGTACTGTCGGAGAGCAACCAGATCCCGACTTCATCAAAATGTTCGTCGGACAGGTGCCTAGGTAATTACTAATTCATTATTTATCTTTAATGTAAACATCTTATTTTTTCATCGAATCGAACAACTTTGGATATTGATATAGATTACTCATTTCAAGACCGCCATCTAGTTATAAAATTTATTATTTAAAAAATCTCCTTCGTTAGCTATTTATTTATTATTTATTATACATGTTGTTAAGCGGACTTTACTTTTTGAAGTGAAAAATTAGTTCCATCAAAACACTCCGCTACCCCCTCTACCAGGGTTAGCAACCATTCTGTGTAAAAGCTCAATGTCATGAACATTGTCACCTTCATGGCCAATATAATAGAACGAAAATGCCGTCCGAACATAGTTGTGATTGATACAAAATTTTAATAACATTTTAAAAAATCATATACATAAAATTAATGTACATAGTTTTATTATGTTCTGCAAAATGAGATTGTATAAATTATAATTATTGCTATAGTATGAACTGATGATAATGTCATTGGTACAAACCTTATAATGTGATGAAATAATTTATATAAAGAAGTCACTGAACAAAATGACCATGTTGCATGTTTCATATTTTTTCATCATATTTGATTTTATTAGGCAGATTTCAGACATTCCATTTAAAAACCAAATATCAAAACTTGTAATGTACGAATATTTCGAATTCCAGGTCTATGGATGAGAATGATCTGCGCACAATGTTCGAGGAATTCGGCAGAGTACATCAGATCAATGTACTACGTGACAAAATGACGGGGACCAGCAAAGGTAGGATTTTTTTACTTTTATACACATACCCAATCATGAATTTTCAATGACCTGTTCGAAATGTTTTGCGACACCAAAATAAATATCAATAGTACATATATAATTGCGAGTAAAATTTATACCTTATGGCTTACTAAACTATACAAAAATCCATATAGTGACGAAAGCTACTTTGATAATACTTTCATGATAATTTAGTCAATCAAATATAAATAATTTGAGATTTTTAATAATGATATTTATATTAGAGTGTTAATTTCCCTAATTGGTGAAATTGCAACGTTTGCGAATATGTCCATTTTCAGTAGAGATCAAATATTTCTGTTTAGCATCAAATGTGCTTGACACTTCATAAAGGTTTTTGCATTAATTTCCACTCATTTACTCTGAAGTACTTATACACAGTTTGGGGTTTTATAATTGCATATATATTCTCTCTCGACTTCCAAACCTTGTGTACAAATACAAGCATGCACATGACTAATTGCTAATTTAATTGCAAATTGCGTTAATCATAGAACATTTACATTCACTAGTTCCACCAGGAATATATATTTTGGAAATTTATTCTAGGTATTCGTTAGGCAGCTGTTTACAAAAAGTGATATAATTATGTGAAGATATCCTTGATGATTTGCCTCGAATGGCTCATTATGCAATAAAATGATAATTACCAGGTCTTGCAGAATTTCTTGCATAGGGAGACTGTTTATAGGGTAAATGGCTTTATAGTAAGCTTTCCATAGTTCGAGGAATGTTTTTTTTGTTGGAACTTCTTAGCTTCCTGAAATTATTAATGATATTATAAGATATTTACTAGGGCAAAATCGTTTTTATTTTCAAACCCAATCAATTATATATATTCTACGTATAATTCTACGTATATTACACGTATAATAGCTTATATTTCCTTCATTAGTCCGATCAGTTTAATATTTTTGTTTAATTAATAAATGTTTTATTATTATGGCAATGATTGGCCTTACCTTATGCGAAGAGATGCTAATTAACAATTTTAATTCGTAAATATTTAATTTAATTTTTAAATATTTAAAATAATTTTTAAATTATATTTACATTCATCAACTTCAATTTTCAATAAATTTAATATTAACTTTATCGAAAATGTTCTCCACCTTTCATATTTAATTGTTGTTGGCTGAGGCGAGGTCGTTGGCGAAGATTAATATAGTATGATCTTCTTTCATCTGTTTTATTTTTATTTTATATGTTTGCACAGAAGCCTTGTTCATCTTTATTGATTTTTTTCTAGTTATAAGACTCAACATTGTTAATTTTCTTTAACCCAACCCCATAGTTTACCATTGTAAAATGCATAGTTTTTACCATTGTAAAAAACGCAATTTTAATTTAGTTTAAATAACATATTATTTAAATTTTGAAATATATTGATACTTGACACTAACTATACTAAAAATGTATTCCTTTTATTTATTACACCAAATCTGATTTTCTCATCGTTGACTGAAACTTTCCCATCAAAATCCTAAGTCAAAAAAATATTCAAGATATCCATGCCATCTTTTCAATATCGCAATAAGTTTAATATCATACCCGTTATATCCTTTCAAACGACCTCCATGCTCGAGGATTCCATCGATATTCTCAAATGCCGTCGACTTATACATGATTATGCGAAGGGGGGACTTTGGGTATTATTTTTTTGCTGCCACACATTTTTATTTCACCGGTCGAATAAAAATAAAAAAGTGTACGAATCACACAACTTTTCAAGGATAATCCCCAAAGAAAATATGAAACCGGCTCGCGAGAGGAAAAAACCTTTTAACTATAAATTGGGGGACATAGTACATAAAATCCACGGGCGATCGGACTATAGGATATGAATGCCGTGAAATATCATATTATTGATTAAAGGATTTACCTCGTAAATATGCTTTCGAGAATGACTTTCTTGAGCACGAGATATTTATACGCGTTTTCTTGGATTTTTATTTATCTCGAGTAGTTTTCAAATATATGGTCGCATGTTCTTTCATCTTTTAGTATATGCACATTGCATTAATATAGAGCACGACTTACCCTCTTTATTGCCGATATAATAAAAGAAATTACATTTGAATTATTATGATGTTATTGAATTGTTTTTTATTCGTATTGTGATGTTTTATTGAGGAAATGTATGCAGAGTTAGAATGCGATTGAGTCACTAAACTTTATCATTTTTTGTGCTATTTGAGAGATTTTGGATAAAAGAAACTACATGTTTCTATTGCGATCAATGTACAGATTTAATGAATTATGTAATGGCATCTTCATTGTAATTAAGCGTTAAAAAATCAACGATTAACATACGATTAATCAAGTTTCTGTAAAATGTTTTCAGTGATTTCGGAATATACAAGAATTTCATTTCTAACTTGAAGTAATCATTTTTTGTCAATTATTTGACATAAGTACATAGGCAAATAAATAGGTACGAATTTTTGTTCGTTTTTCAAAGAACTAAATAACAGTTCTGACTTTTCATCTAAGCAACTCCGTTATCCACTTTCAAAAAGCCTCATCATCATTAGTATTTTATAAATTCAAGAAATTTTGAAAAAATCTGAATTAAAAGTAATCAGATGGTGTAAGCTGTAAAGTCAGGACTATATGATGGATTTTTTATCTTTGAGTGAAAAATCACCAGAATGAAATTTGGCAAATGAATTTTGACACAGTTGTTTTTCAAATATTCGTCACCAAAAACAGTTACTTTTTGTGAGGTTATAATGCATTTTATCTTTGCAGATATTAAAAAGTGAGCTATGACAAGAATTTTCGATTTCATTTTCCATCTTTCAAGAAACCTCAGCCAAAACACTAAGTTCGAATCATTTTTTAACTTTCCGTAGGGTAATTATAGTAATGGGCCGCATTTTTTCGTTCATGTTTTCGGGCGCACGGATCAACCGATTTGAATGGTTCAAAAAACATTCGACTCCAATTGTTAGGGAGATGTGCTGACTAGTTTTGGCAAAGGCAGGTCCAGCCGTTAGGGAGATAAAGAGCAAAGAGTGCAGATAATAGAAATTGAATTTTTGAGAGAACCGAGCATCTGATTTGAATAATCTAAAAAAAAAACATTTCAATTTTATAACAGTGCTGACAGATACAAGATTATATGGTGCTCTTTATACTTACATCAAATCTAATAATATAAAACTATAAATGAAATATACATAAAACAATGATATATACGTAAGGCTAGACTTTAAGAGGTAGTGTAGATATCATGTAATTTAGTATATGGCTAATGTACAAGTTTATAAAGCCAATAAATCATAAATAAAAAAAAATGATTGGTAGAAGTGGTTATTAGTTTTTAGCAAAGTAGGCCTAGCCATTTCGAAGATACAGAGCTGTTGTACAAAAGCTGTTGAGTATTTGAGATAAATAAGCATCCGAATTGAATAATTCAAAAAACTTTCTGCTTGTGTTTTCAAAACAATTGCTTTCGGGGAAAAAATTCATTTCAATTTTTATTTGTATATCGAAAATAATTCACATTTCAATTTTAATTCTGGCTAAAGTTTTCAAGCTTACTTTAAATAAACATTTTTGACTTTTCATTTCAGTTTATATAATTCCTATAAATATTAGATAATGCTACAGTATTCATAATAATCTACTTGAAAACATTTAATATTCCTCGAACATTTGGTTACGGTGTGAGAAGTTCCAGCAATTTACTTTAGGGCACGATGCCATAGATCTCTAGTTTTTCATTCTGATTATCTCGGAAGAATTCCTGTACCCCTCTCCTCTCCTCACATTTTATTACACGGTACTATTTTTTATAAAAATAATTTTTATTTTCCAAAGTGTTTTAATTATGTATCCCATAAAAGCTTTTAGTATTCATTTTATTTTTCTTTATTTCCGCATTATGGTGTATTTTAATTTACTACTTGCCATAATTCACATTCAAAATTAGTCCATAAAATATCTATTATCGCCATTATGCGTTTGCTGCCAAGTCGTTTGCATATAATGCGCAGAGCCATCATTATTTCGTCTTTCATTCGAAACCACAAAAAAGAATTCTATACGAAAAAGATTATCATGCAAATTCTATATCATCTAGTTATATCCATTTTAAAGGAGACTCACGTTTCGTGCTTTTCGATTTCTATTGCCTAACAATTGGCTTTACGATTACTGATAACGTATAATATGATCGTTTCATACGTTTGTGTGTAGGTTCTAGGGTAACATCATCCATGGCCTTATACTTCTACAAACGAATTTATGTATATATTCTAGATCTATGTATATCCCACATATAGGTCGATATAAAAAAATTACGACATAAAGTGACCCGTCATAAATATTACCCCAGGAAACTTCTTGCTTATATAAGCACTTGGCCTCCGTATTGCTTTATGTATTTATGTTGGGATATACGAGTATGTATATCCGTGCACGTACTTTGTACGCAATGAATTTTTCATAAACGTGTGTTTTTGATTTTCTGGATACTACTTTTGCTATTGTTGTATGTTATTTATTCATCTTTTATTGCTATTTTATTTTCATTAATTTTGAAACAGTAGATGAAACTGTGTACGGTACCGTCCACAACCCCAGGACGGCTGTGACAGGCGTAAGAATAGGTTAAAAAACATTAGGTGTAAATACCATAATAGTTAGTAACTACTTCTGTTAAAATATATAACAAAAAAGTTTTTTTTAATCAAAGTTAATGTAATATTTTTTAACTTCCCGTAGGGTAAGTTATTGTAATCGTCCAAAAATCGAAATTGAAATTTTTTCACATTTTGAAGGTTTCTGAACATTTTGGCATACCTCAGAAAAAATGGATGTGTGTGTGTGTGTATGCATGTATGAGTACAATTTTTCGTCGAGGTTTTCGGGCGCACGGATCACTCGACTTGAATGGTTCAAAAAAACATTCGATTCCTTTCGATAGGAGATGTGCTGATTAGTTTTTGGCAAAGGCAGGTCCAGGTGTT